AGCAATGCCTGTTCGTGACAGCAACCTCTTTTTACTGGGCACTTGCCCCAACAGTGTTCGTGGTAACAGGGGGATTCTTTTGCCTTTGTGTGCATGTTTGTGTGTAGGTGTGTGCGTGCGTGTTTGTGTGCGTGTGTGTACACAGAGGCGCACCCAGCGACGGATGTGAGGAGGAGTGGCGCTCTCGCTCTTCCTTGTACTCTCGTGCGTGCGTGGTCCTCTGTGCGTGTGTGTGTGCGTGTGTAGTCGTCTGTGTGTGTGTGCGTGTGTCTGTAGTCGTCTGTGTGTGTGTAGTCGTCTGTGTGTGTGTGTGCATGTGGCACAAGGGTCTGCCCCGTGACCTCCTGCCAGCGGGCGTTCGACACTTCACGTGGCCTCAAGGTGCACATGGCCTGGCACAAGCGTCGTGGTGACGTCACCCCCACTTAGTGGCGAATGGCGGTTGTTGTTGTAGTCCTCTGTGTGTGCGTAGTCGTATGTGTGTGTGTGCGTGTGTGTGTAATCGTCTGGCAAAACAACCCCCTACCTCCTCGCGGTGCCGGACGGGCAACTCTGTCGTGGACAGTGCTGTGGGGAGAGGGTCAATTCCGATTGGCCCTCTCCCCTCATGGCGTCTGTGACCACCACAGTGGCTAAACGGGGGCTCTGGACGGGTGCGAGGGGCTGGTAACCCCTCCACCTTCAATTAATTACCACGAAACCACGACGAAAATATCTAACTAATAAGCTTGTGCCGGAGGCCCCGGGGGGACAGGCGTCTATGACGTCTCCTGGCCAAACCCCAATTGGCGGAGCCAGGAGATTGAATCTCTACCCTCGGGGCTCCTCCAGAAACAACGAAAAGCCACATCGTGTGGCCGCGTGGAAGGTTCGAACGCTCACTGCGGAGGAAAGGCTGCCACTCCTCTGTCGGGAGCTGGACCGGTACCGCCTGGATCTCTGTGGCATTCAGGAGGTCCTGTGGACCAGTTCTGGTTCCTACCACCATGAGGGGTGGACAGTCCTCTACTCGGGCAGCAGCCTGCCAAACAACAGGGTGTGGCTCTTCTTTTGAACAAAAGAGTGAAGGGTGCGTGGGAGCATGGCGGTGAGGTGTGGGAAGCTGTAAGCCCAAGGCTACTTTGAGCTCGCCTTCCCATCAACCGGAGGCGAGGAGTGGTGGTCGTGGTTACTTATGCCCCCACCGAAGACGAATATCCGTGGAGGGATGCAGGCAAAGCCGATGAGTCAGATGCCTTCTATGACCTCCTGTCACAGGTGCTGGCTAAAGTGGAACCTCAGGATAGAGTCATCTTGTTGGGTGACTTCAATGCCCGAGTTGGTCATGATGCTGGCACCTGGTCTGGAGTGATTGGAGGGCATGGGCCAGATCAGCTCAATAACGGTAGGAGGCTGCTAGATTTTTGTGCAGCCAATGGGCTTGTAATTACCAACACGCTGTTCCAGCATCGGCGCATCCACACAACATCATGGATACATGCCGAGTCCAAGCAAGAACATCTGCTAGACTACATAGTGACGGACCAGCGGATGCGAGCCCATGTCCTTGACACCAGGACCTAACGTGGAGCTGATCTGTCCTCTGACCATCGACTAGCCATCTGTAAGATGCACCTGCCATTCTTCCACTCCGGTGGTGGGTGTACACCCAGGACCCCATTCCAACCTAATGTGGCCTGGTCTCAGTTAGCCGATGAAAGTTGCAAGCGAGAATTTCATCATCGCTTGCGGCTGGGGTTGGAATCGTCCCCCACTCCTCCTGATGTCGAGGGTAAATGGGCGAGGTTTAGGACTGTGACTCATGCAGCTGCAATGGCTGCTTTGGGTACGCGGTCCAGACCTCCCCAGAGACCCTGGCTGAAAGAGATGTTCAGGATGGTTGAGAAAAAGCGACAGGCCCACTGTCATCGGCTATAGAATCCCACGTCAGAGAATGAGGCTTACCGCAGCCTTCGCTCGGAGGTTCAGAGAGCCGTGAGGCGCTGCAAGGATGGGCGGTGGTCGCGGGTTGCTGAGGAGATGGAGTCTACCTCAGTGGCCCACGATTACAAATCTCTATTCAACTCCATCAAAAAAGTAACCTGCAGCACACCTATTACCATAATTAGGGGAAAAACGGTGATCCAATTTCCGACCCCCAGGAACAGGTTTTCAAATTTGCTGAGCATTTCTGTGAGGTCCTGGGGGAGGAGAAATCTCTCAGCCAGAAAAACATCGTGGCACAAAGTGGGGATGACCCTGCTGAGGCTGCAGTGCCTGAAATATTGGAAGAAGTCACCCCCTGTGAGTGGCTAGCTGAGGTGCCATCTGTTGAGGAAGTACTGAAGTCTGAGACCAGGAAAGGCATCGGGTAGAGATGATCTCCCAAGCGAAATGCTGAGGGAGGGTGGCGTTTATGCACAGACTGCCCTATATGACATCATAACAGTCTGGACCACTGGACGGGTTCCGCAGGATTGGAAGGATGCCCTCGTGGTCCCCCTCTTTAAGAAGAGGGACCGCACAGACTGTAACAACTACAGGGGAATCTCACTCCTCAGTGTGCCAGGAAAGGTCCTGGCAAGGATTATTCAACATCGCCTTGCCAGGCACGCTGAGGAGAGGCTTGCGGAGCCCGAATGCGGTTTCAGGAAAGGGCGGTCCTGCACAGATGCCATATTTTCTGTCCGTCTGCTACAGCAGAGGTGTAGGGAATTCCAACAAGACCTACATCTCTGCTTTATTGACCTGGTCAAGGCCTATGATACCATCAGTAGGCCTGGGCTCTGGGTTGTTCTTCGTTCTTTTGGAGTCCCTGACCCCCTGCTCACGATCATTAAGGACCTTCATGATGGTGAGCGGGCCCGGGTAAAACTACGTGGCTGGGAGTCAGAGCCATTCCCTGTACACCTTGGGGTGCGACAGGGATGTCCTCTGGCTCCCACATTATTTAACATCTATTTTGACCATGTAGTTCGTGAAGCCTTCAATAGCTGTACCGGTAGAATCTCCATTTGGAACAGATATAATGGGAGGCTGATCGATGCCCGGGTGCAGTCAAGGGATGGCTCCCTATTGCTCAACCACGTTATGTATGCCGATGATTTGGTAATAGCTGCTCATTCAGAAGGGGAGTTGGAGACGCTGCTGCTGAGACTGGAGCGTGCCACTAAGAGATGGGGCCTTACCATCAGCCCCACCAAAACTAAACACCTGCCTGGGTATTTTGTACCATCGGACACTCCACCCCCACAACTCCCAATCGGTGATGGGGCAGTTGTGGAGAGAGTGGAGAGTTGCCCATACTTGGGGCAGTGTGCTCATGACCGGCTCCAGTTTAACAGCAGAGGTCTCACTCCGAATCAGTCAAGCGGCAATATATTTTCATCGGTTGCGTAACGCTGTGTGGAAGCTACCTGGTCTGTCGCTCCGCACTTGGCTTCAGGTCTTCTCGGCCACGGTCATTTCCTCCCTTTTCTACGCTTGCGAAACGTGGATCCCCTTAATGGAACATCTTCGCCGGTTAGAAACATTTAGGCTAGCCTGCCTACGATCCATCCTGGGTTTAACCAGGCTGGATTGTGTGAGGAGCTCATAAATCCTTGAAAGATCTGGGCAAGGTCCCATCGGTGAGCTCCTCCGGCAGGCAAGGCTGCATTGGCTGGGTCATGTAGCCCGCATGCCCAGCCACCACATGCCGAAACAGCTTTTGTTCGGCCGGATCGAGGGGGCTAAACGGGCGCGGCCCGGGCTAGAGAAGAGATGGAGTGATGTGGTACAGGAGGACGTGGAGCTGACTGGACTTACCGATGACTGGTACCAGCGGTGTCAAGATCGGCCTCTGTGGAGGAGGCTCGTGAATGATGCTACTGGATAGTTGGAGGCAGTGGCCCTCCAACAACAACGGAGGGCAGAGGAGCGACGCTCACAACAACGAGCGGAGCGCCGGGTGGATAAAGCACAGCAAGTTGGCACAGTAGGGGGCACAGGTGGTGCATCAGCCGGTCATCTCAGTCAGTCGACCCGTGGCACTTGGATCTGCCCCGTGACCTCCTGCCAGCGGGCGTTCGACACTTCACGTGGTCTCAAGGTGCACATGGCCTGGCACAAGCGTCGTGGTGACGTCACCACCACTTAGTCGCGAATGGCGGTTGTTGTTGTGTGTGTGTAGTCGTCTGTGTGTATAGTCGTCTGTGTGTAGTCGTCTGTGTGTGTGTGATCGTCTGCGTGTGTGCGTGTGTGTAGTCGTCTGTGTGTGTGCGCGTGTGTAGTCGTCTGTGTGTGTGTGCACTTAGTGACTCGCCTGTGAGGGGTTTAGAGAGAGGGCCCAGATTCTTGTGGACCCCCCCCCCGGCGCTACGGGATTGGAGGGGAGCAAGGGAGTGTGGGGAGCGAGGGAGGAGGCGAGGGAGGAGGCGAGGGAGACACGGGGGGGTGAGACTTGGAGTTGAAGACCACTCCTGACCCCCATCTCACTCCTGACCCCTGACCCTGATCTCATTCCTGATCCCGATCTCACTCTTGATCCCTGACCTCGATCTTACTCCTGACCCCTGACCTCGATCTAATTCCTGACCCCTGACCCCGATCTCACTCCTGACCGCGGCCTCGCTCATGACCCTCACCCGGACCCCTGCGGGGCCCGCGAGACGTCGCGGTTCTGGGGTCCAGCTGCTGGGGTATGTGGGGTGTAGGGGATGAGTTATGGAGCAGCGGTAGGGGTTGGATTAACGTGAAGTTTGAGGTTTCGGCTGTTGAGGTCGGTGTGCAGACAGGGGCCCCGCTAGGGGGTCTCTGGCAGGGGCTCGGTATTGGCATCTGGAAGTTGCCCTCTCCACCCCCCACCCATCCACCCACCCACGCCTCCACCCCTCCCACCCCTCCACCCCCCCACGCCTCTACCCCCCCACCCCTCCACCCCCCCACGCCTCCACCCCCCACTCCTCCACCCCCCCACCCGCCCCCCTCCCGTGTCCCTCGAAACCGCAGCGCAGCTTCCACTCACTCACCCCCTACCATAACCCCCTTCCATCCACTGCCCTTCCTATCCCTTCTCGGCCGCCTCCCCCTCTCGACCCCTTCCCCTCTCTCCGCGCGCGGCCCCTGGCCCCGCAGACGCCTCCCGGCGCGCACACAGCAGACACGGAGAGCGCGGAGCCGAGTTCAACACACGCACCAGGGTCCACCTCTTGGATTGTAGTCCACCTCTTGGATTGCAGTCCACCTCTTGGATTCTAGTCAACCTGTTGGATTGTAGTCCACCTCTTGGATTCTAGTCAACCTCTTGGATTTTAGTCAACCTGTTGTATTGTAGTCAACCTGTTGGATTGAAGTCCACCTCTTGGATTCTAGTCAACCTGTTGGATTGTAGTCCACCTGTTGGATTGTAGTCCACCTCTTGGATTCTAGTCAACCTGTTGGATTGCAGTCCACCTGTTGGATTGTAGTCCACCTGTTGGAAGACTCGAGTGTCCCACCCCTTGGATTCTACTCCGACCCCTCAGAAGACTCCGGGAGTCCATCCTCGTCACCCCCCCACTCACCCACACCACCCCCCCACCGACCCCACGCCGCCGCCATGAGCGACGCAGGCGTCGTGGTGGTGCAGGGTGGACGAGTGGTGAACGCGGAGTACTCGGAGCAGGCGGACGTGCTCATCGAGGGCGGTGTCGTGCGCGCGGTGGGGCCGGCGCTGCCCGTGCCGGCCGGCGCGCGCCTCGTGTCCGCGCACGGCCGCCTCGTGCTGCCCGGCGGCGTCGACCCGCACACGCACATGGAGCTGCCCTTCATGGGGACCCGCGCCGTGGACGACTTCTACCAGGGTACCAGGGTGAGCCCTGGGGAGGTGGGGGTGGGGGGGGAGCTGCCAGGGGCTCAAGGGAGGATCGTGGTGGCGAGGGGGGGGGGGAGGTCGGGGAGCAAGGGGATCGGAGGGGGTCAGATAACAGGGGCTCAGAGAACAGGGAGATGAGAGAACAGGGAAATCAGAGAACAGGGGGATCAGAGAACAGGGAAATCAGAGAACAGGGAGATTAGAGAACAGGGAGATTAGAGAACAGGGAGGTCAGTGAACAGGGAAATCAGAGAACAGGGAAATCAGAGAACAGGGGGATCAGTGAACAGGGAAATCAGAGAACAGGGAAATCAGAGAACAGGGAAATCAGAGAACAGGGGGATCAGAGAACAGGGAAATCAGAGAACAGGGAGATTAGATAACAGGGAGGTCAGTGAACAGGGGGATCAGAAAACAGGGGGATCAGAAAACAGGGGGATCCGTGACGTCATCGAAGCGTGCCCCCCCCCCCCCCCCCCCTCTATACTCAACGGAGATTATGAGAAGTCGGCGTAAACGATTGTAGCCGTGACTGACAGCGTGGTGTGGTGGCGATGGAGAGACGCAGGCAGGCCAGGGCTCACGGCGAGTGAAGAACAGCAGCCGAACAACTATTCTCGCTGGGGAGATGGAATACGAACGGTGCAATCACAAAGATGTACTGCGCGCTGATCATCGTCACATTGCGACGTTGGATCGCGTGTCGTGGATAAACGATCAGCCAGGGGGCACGGGCAGGAGGCGCGGCGAGTGGGCAGCGATCACGGGGTTCCCCCACTCCCCCCTTGCCCCCCCCCCCCACGACCCCCCCCTGACCCCCCCACTCCCCCTACATTGACCCCCCCACTCCCCCCACCCTGACTCCCACCCCCACTCCCCCCCCTGACTCCCCCACTCTGCCCCTGACTCCCCCTACGATTAGTAGTTTGAAGGCGTTAGGGGGGGGGGGGGTCCACACGTGGTCACCCCGCACCCCCCACCCCACTTCCGATGGACAGCCCTGCCCGGGCCCCTGATCGCCAGCCCCACTCCCATCCCCACGGTCCTGCAGATGGAATCCACTACCCCTCCCCCACCTCCTCCTCCTCCTCCAAAGACAAAGATCCCCCGTATAGCCTCAACAGTCTGCTGGGGCAAGTTCTGTTAGCGAGTAGCACCTATGAATGCCGAAACGGCGCACACGAGCGGGTGGGTCGCCAACAACACGCCCGGTCGCATTTGTTTTCCCACCGCTGATGCTTACACATGCTTACACGTTGCACCATGTACATATTTAAGGCTGAGTCGACCTCGGGGGGGCCCAGAACAGGTTCAGATAATTTATCGTCACATGGTGTTGGTGGTGGGCGTGAGCGAGAATCGAACTCGGGACGCCGGGTTCGTAGCGCAGCGCGCTAACCACTGCGCCACCGCTCCTCAGCCCCTCACCCACTCACACCCCACCCCCAACCCTATCCGGACACGCGAGCTCCGCGGCTAATTTTGGGTCAGGATTATTTAATTAATTAAATCCTCGTGCTGGGGCTCCCTTACAGACGGTGTTTGCCACTCCTAACGCATGAACACACTCCTTACACGTGAACACACCCTTTAAGCATGAATACACTCCCTACGCATGAACACACTCCCTACGCGTGAACACACTCCTTACACATGAACACACTCCTCGCGCATGAACACACTTCTTATGCATGAACACATTCCTTACACCCGAACGCACTCCTTACACATGAACACTTACCGCATGACCACCCGACTTAAACATGCACAAACTCCGTACACGTGAACACACCCTTTAATCATGAACACGTTCCCTACGCATGAACACACTCCATTAGCATAAAACACACTCCTTACACATGAACACACTCCTTGAGCATGAACACGTCCTTACACATGAACACATTTCGTACGCATGAACACACTTCTTATGCATAAACACATTCCTTACACCCAAACACACTCCTTACACATGAACACTCTTACCGCATGACCACCCGACTTAAACATGCACAAACTCCGTACACATGAACACACTCCTTACACGTGCACATACGTAACACACACCTCTCGCACGTAACACACACACACTTAACACACACCACCACATGACACGTGAACACGCGTCCAGCACACGTGCACCTCGCGCGCCCGCTCAACGTCTGGCCCGCCCGCTGCGAGGCAAGAAGACGCCTCTACCCTGTGTGTGTCGATCTCTGGTGCGCACGTTCCGCCTCCTGTTGCCTCTGAGCGGCTGAGTTCTTTTGCAAAACGTTGTAGGGAAGGGGGGGGGCTTGGGAATAATAACCCTGCCAGCAGGGCCGTCCATATAAGGGGGAGGCGGTGCGGAGGACCGGGCCAACTCACACCGTGCGGACTCTCCGACGCCTTCAAACTAAACCGGCAGTGTTACATCTAACAGCGTGACGTCGAAGCGCGTGGCACCCCCAAAGTGCGGGGCCCGGGGCGGTCGCCCCGATTCGCCGCGTACCCTAGGCACGGCTCTGCCGCGCTACTCATGAGCGGCATTCCACCCGTCACCCACGCACCCCCCCCCCCCCAGACCTTACCACGAGATGGCAGACATCACCTGACCAAGGATGACGGGAGCCTTTGCACAATTGCATATTATAAGAGCGGCGAGCTGTTATTAGGTGGGGGTGGTTTTTTGTGTGCATAAAGACAAATGAGACGTTATTAAAGAATGAAGATGCGCTATTGTGACGCATAAATTAATTGTAGCGTCCTTTGTCTATTCTGTGCTTACGCTGCTGCGTTGGCAGCAGTACACAGACAACAACCACCAGCACCGCTCTGTGGGTTTGTGGCCTTAAAAGTACATTTAGACAACTACTCGATAACGCTTTGGCCAATGCTCTCTTCCTCACAACACATAGAGAGAGTGAATACTCTATTTGGCCCCTGCTCGAAACGTTGCCTATTGCACACGTTTTTTTCTTTAAGGCCACACGCAAAGTGTTATTTGATGAACACGTTGAGTTTTTATTTTTGCTGACTCGGTGCTGCCCCGGGGGTGGTGGCGGGGGGTTGTTGGCAGGCTGCCCTGGCTGGAGGCACCACGATGATCGTGGACTTCGTCCTGGGGGCTCGGGGCATCTCTCTGCTTGACGCGTTCCGCACGTGGCGAGGCTGGGCCGACCCCAACGTGTGCTGCGACTACTCGCTGCACGTGGGCGTCACGTGGTGGAGCGAGCAGGTGAGGAGGATGGCCAGGTGCACATGTGGGTGAGGGTGTGCACGTGTGGGTGAGGGTGTGCACGTGTGGGTGAGAGTGTGCACGTGTGGGTGAGAGTGTGCACGTGTGGGTGTGCGCGTGTGGGTGAGGGTGTGCACGTGTGGGTGAGAGTGTGCACGTGTGGGTGAGAGTGTGCACGTGTGGGTGAGGGTGTGCACGTGTGGGTGAGAGTGTGCACGTGTGGGTGAGGGTGTGCGCGTGTGGGTGAGGGTGTGCACGTGTGAGTGAGGGTGTGCGCGTGGGGGTGAAGGTGTGCACGTGTGAGGGTGTGCGCGTGGGGGTGAGGGTGTGCGCGTGTGTGCACGTGTGGGTGAGGGTGTGCACGTGTGGGTGTGTGCACGTGTGGGTGAGGGTGTGCACGTGTGGGTGAGGGTGTGCACGTGTGAGTGAGGGTGTGCGCGTGTGGGTGTGCGCGTGTGGGTGAGGGTGTGCGCGTGGGGGTGAGGGTGTGCGCGTGTGGGTGAGGGTGTGCGCGTGTGGGTGTGTGCGCGTGTGGGTGAGAGTGTGCACGTGTGGGTGAGGGTATGCGCGTGTGGGTGAGAGTGTGCGCGTGGGGGTGAGAGTATGCACGTGTGGGTGAGGGTGTGCGCGTTTGGGTGAGGGTGTGCACGTGTGGGTGAGAGTGTGCACGTGTGGGTGAGGGTGTGCGCGTGTGGGTGAGGGTGTGCACGTGTGGGTGAGGGTGTGCACGTGTGGGTGAGAGTGTGCACGTGTGGGTGAGGGCGTGCACGTGTGGGTGAGGGTGTGCGCGTGTGGGTGAGGGTGTGCGCGTGTGGGTGAGTGTGTGCGCGTGTGGGTGAGAGCGTGCGCGGGTGGTGACGCGGCGCGTAGGTAAGCGAGGAGATGGGGGTCCTGGTGCGTAGCGAGGGGGTCAACTCCTTCAAGGCGTTCATGGCCTACAAGGAGGCGTTCATGCTGCGCGACCCCGAACTCTTCTCCGTGTTCCGCCGCTGCAAGGAGCTCGGCGCCATTGCGCAAGTTCACGCCGAGAACGGAGACCTCATCGCCGAGGTGACGAGGCGAGCACCGCCGTGGTGGCTGGTGATGATGATCGTAACGATGGTGACGAAGATCATGACGATGGTGACGATATTGTTCGTGATGATGGTGCCGACGATGACGATGATCAATTCCGTGATGATGACGATGATTTGAATGATGAAGGCGATGATGATTTTGACAGCGATGATTTTACAGAAGATGAAGAAGCAGACGATAATGAGTAACGGCGAGATTAGGATAATGACACGTTCATATCAAAACCACGTGTTCATAACAAATGACGATGGTGATGATTTAAAACAACACCGAAGTATATTTGCTAAGGGGTGGACAACCTTCTCCATCCCGAGTTCCAAAACCGAACTTTGTGAAACCCTTTGACAGGGGGCGCGCCACACGGAGACACACCCCAGCGTTATCCAATAGCGCCGCAAAAAAACACAACACAACAACACAACACCACAACAACACAACAATAACACAACACCACAACAACACCACAACAACAACACAACAACAACACCACAACACCACAACAACACAACACCAAAAAACAACAACAAAACAACAACAACACAACACGCGCCAGCGGCCGAGGATGTGGAGTCGCTTGTCGTGGCACAGGCGGCTGTGGGCGCTACATTCAGGGCCCGTGCATAGCGGCACGGGTTGGGAGAGCCACGGGCTGACTCACACCCCGTGGCCCTCGACGCCTTTAAACGAATTAGGACATTTTTATTCTGCGGGTCTTTCGGTAAAGCCACGTAGATGGGAAAAATATACGAAATATCACGACGTTTCGATCGCAACACAAGCAAATCGTCTTCACCTGTCGTGATGTTTTTAGTATTTTTCTATCTACGTGGCTCTACCGAAAGACCTATAGAATACGTATTCCTGCGTTCACGAAAGCTTTAAGTCAAGATCAAATTAGGAAATATTTAACACTTTTTTTATGGTCCATTGAGCTGTGCAGCTCGTTTTCAGAAGCGACTTTCACAAAGAATAATAATGGTAATAATAAAAATAATAATGATAATAATAAAAATAATAATGATCATAATGATAATAATGATAATAATAATGATAGTAATGATCATAAAAATAATAATGATAATATTAATGATGATAATAATAATGATAATAATGATAAACTGAACGAAATGGCTGATCACGTGGAAATATAGCAGCAGGCAAAAAAAATACTCTAAACGCGTGACGATGATTCTATGTGGGGGAAACAGCGGAGGACCCCGACACAATATCCACGCGACCGCGGGGACAATGAGCGACCTCCCCACGAGGAGCTTCTACAGAAAGACTTTGGTTTCTGGGGTGGAGAGAGCACATGGAGGGGAGTAGAGTGAGATGGGAGGGGAGAGGTAGGAGAGTGCGTGGAGGGGAGTAGAGTGAGATGAGAGGGGAGAGGTAGGAGAGTGCGTGGAGGGGAGTAGAGTGAGATGAGAGGGGAGAGGTAGGAGAGTGCGTGGAGGGGAGTAGAGTGAGATGAGAGGGGAGAGGTAGGAGAGTGAGTGGAGGGGAGTAGAGTGAGATGAGAGGGGAGAGGTAGGACAGCGCATGGAGGGGAGTAGAGTGAGATGAGAGGGGAGCAGAATGAGTAGAATGACTCACATGGCGCTCGATACTGATGATGCTGTTGTTGGTAAAGTTGCTGCTGATGATGGTTCTGCTGCTGATTCGCATGGTTGGCTACTTACGGTACAAAAGAACGTACATATGTATGACACGCTGCTACCGTCACTCCGACACTGCTGCTGTTGACAACGTTGCTGCTGGCGATGCTGATGACGATGTTGCTGATGATGGCTGCTGCTGATGATGGCTGCTGCTGCTGCTCGGGCAGGGCGAAAAGGAGATGTTGGAGCGCGGCATCACGGGGCCCGAAGGCCACGAGCTGTGCCGGCCCGAGGTGGTGGAGGCCGAGGCCACGAACCGGGCCATCACGATCGCGGGGCGCGCGCGCTGCCCGCTCTACGTGGTGCACGTGATGAGCAAGGCGGCCGCCGGCGTCATCGCGCGCGCGCGCAGGGCAGGTGAATGGGCAGCCGCGGAGGGGGGGGGGGCTGGGTGCATCGACAAAATACTAATAATAACAATAACAACAAAAGCCACCTCCTCCGTATCGTAGGGCAAAGGGGAGGAAAATAAATAGAAGTGGATGCGGAGAAGCTGGAGTATGAGAGAGATGAAACGCGTGTGTCGAGGTGGGGTAGAGGGTCGGCAGCACCGATGGCCGGGGGGTAGGGAATTACAGACGGTGGGGACAGCACAGGAGAAAGAGCGACCTCCCGCTGAGCGAAGGTTCACTGGGTGCTTCCACAGGAAGCGTTGGTGTGCTGGAGCGGAGAGAGTGCGTGGAGGGGAGTGGAGTGAGATGAGAGGGGAGTGGAGTGAGATGAGAGGGGAGAGGTAGGTGATTGTGTGGAGGGGAGTAGAGTGAGATGAGAGGGGAGAGGTAGGTGATTGTGTGGAGGGGAGTAGAGTGAGATGAGAGGGGGAGCAACAGACGAGGAAGACAAATGGAAGGTGATGTAGACAAGCTACAGTATAAGAGAGAGAGAGAACAAGCGCGTGTCGAACACAGCTGGCCAGGGCGCTGCGCTGTCGGGAAGCAGCGCAGCAGAAGGAGGCACGGCCACCCCTCGTGGCCGTGCCTCCTTCTACACACGGGGGACGGGGGGGTCAAATCTGTCCAGATAACTTTTGAGAGCCCTCGTAGGGCGGAGTGAGCAGAGTCTTCACCTCCGCTCTGCGCATCGTCGGGAATCGGCCGTTCGAAGAGAGGCCGGGGAAGCGGGACTAAAAACTCTCGGCGAGATTGTTGGCTGGCGAGCGAGGCGTGACCGGTGTGACATGCCAGGCCAGGTGGTGTTCGGGGAGCCAATCGCGGCCGGCCTGGGCACGGACGGCACCCACTACTGGCACCGCGACTGGCGCCACGCGGCCGCCTACGTCATGGGGCCCCCGCTGCGGCCGGACCCCACCACGCCAGGATACCTCATGGACCTCCTCGCCAAGTGAGCAGCAGCATCACCACTAGCATCATCACTCTCATCATCACTAGCATCATCACTCGCATCATCACTAGCATCATCACTCGCATCATCACTAGCATCATCACTAGCATCACTAGCATCATCAATAGCAACACTAGCATCACTAGCATCACCACTAGCATCATCACTAGCAACACTAGCATCACCACTAGCATCATCACTAGCAACACTAGCATCACCACTAGCATCACCACTAGCATCACCACTAGCATCATCACTAGCATCACCACTAGCATCATCACTAGCATCATCACTAGCATCATCACTAGCATCACCACTAGCATCATCACTCGCATCATCACTAGCATCACCACTAGCATCATCACTAGCATCATCACTCGCATCAACACTAGCATCACCACTAGCATCATCACTAGCATCACCACTAGCATCATCACTAGCATCACCACTAGCATCATCACTAGCATCACCACTAGCATCATCACCAGCATCATCACTAGCATCACCACTAGCATCATCACTAGCATCATCACTAGCATCACCACTAGCATCATCACTCGCATCATCACTAGCATCACCACTAGCATCATCACTAGCATCATCACTAGCATCATCACTAGCATCATCACCAGTATCATCACCAGCAACACCACTAGCATCATCACTAGCATCATCACTAGCATCATCACTAGCATCACCACTAGCATCATCACTAGCATCATCACTTGCATCATCACTAGCATCACTAGCATCACCACTAGCAACACCACCAGCATCATCACTAGCATCATCACTAGCATCACTAGCATCATCACTAGCATCATCACTAGCATCACCACTAGCATCAGCACTAGCATCATCACTAGCATCACTAGCATCACCACTAGCAACACCACTAGCATCATCACTAGCATCATCACTAGCATCATCACTAGCATCGTCACTAGCATCGTCACTAGCATCATCACTAGCATCATCACCAGCAACACCACTAGCATCATCACTAGCATCATCACTAGCATCACCACTAGCATCACCACTAGCATCATCACTAGCATCACCACTGACATCACCACTAGCATCACCACTAACATCATCACCAACATCATCACTAGCATCACCACTAACATCACCACTAGCATCACCACTAGCATCATCACCAGCATCATCACTAGCATCACCACTAGCATCATCACTAGCATCATCACTAGCATCATCACTAGCAACACTAGCATCACCACTAGCATCATCACTAGCATCAGCACTAGCATCATCACTAGCATCACTAGCATCACCACTAACATCACCACTAGCATCATCACTAGCATCATCACTAGCAACATCACTAGCATCATCACTAGCATCATCACGAGCATCATCACGAGCATCATCACTAGCATCACCACTAGCATCACCACTACCATCACTAGCATCATCACTAGCATCATCACTAGCAACACTAGCATCATCACTAGCAACACTAGCATCACTAGCATAATCACTAGCAACACCACTAGCATCATCACTAGCAACACCACTAGCATCATCACTAGCAACATCACTAGCAACACTAGCATCATCACTAGCAACACTAACATCATCACGAGCAACACTAACATCATCACGAGCAACACTAGCATCATCACTAGCATCATCACTAGCAACACTAACATCATCACTAGCAACACTAACATCATCACTAGCAACACTAACATCATCACTAGCATCACCACTAGCATCACCACTAGCATTACCACTAGCAACACTAACATCATCACTAGCAACACTAACATCATCACTAGCAACACTAACATCATCACTAGCATTATCACTCGCATCACCACTAGCATCATCACTAGCAACACCACTAGCATCATCACTAGCATCATCACTAGCAACACTAACATCATCACGAGCAACACTAGCATCATCACTAGCATCATCACTAGCATCATCACTAGCAACACTAACATCATCACTAGCAACACTAACATCATCACTAGCATCACCACTAGCATCACCACTAGCATCATCACTAGCAACACTAACATCATCACTAGCAACACTAACATCATCACTAGCAACACTAACATCATCACTAGCATTATCACTAGCATCACCACTAGCATCACCACTAGCATCACCACTAGCATCACTACGAGCAACACTACCAACACAGGTACCCTCACCGCCAACACCAGCATTAGCAGGACCAAATACAAAGATCCCCCATATAGCCTTTACCAGACAGTTGAAGCAAGTGCTGTGAGCATCTACGAAGGCCGGCACGGCACACGAGGGGGTGGATGGCCAGCACCACGCCCGGCCGCCTTTGTCTCCCTCGTGGCGATGTTAACTACACACTACACCAGGCACCCATTTGAGGCCCAGGACCGGTTCAGATAATCGTCACTGGTTGTTGCTGTGAGCGGGAATTGAACTCGGGTAGCCGGGTTTGTAGCGCAGCGCGCTAACCACTGAACCACCGCTCTCAGTACCACAACCACCACCAACCAGCAGCGCTATCCCGATTAGCACCACCACCACCACACAACCATCGTCTGCCCCAGCAGCAGCAGCAGCAACACCACTACTGTCCTCTTTGGTTCTTTCGGTAAAGTCACGTAGGTAGAAAAATAATAGATCACGACGTTTCGATCGCAGCACAAGCAATCGTCATCAGGTGGGACAACCACAGCAAGAACAAACTGCTGAAGTAGACGAGCGATCTGCCGTGGCACGAGGTTATATAGTGGGCCTCTGCAGTAGGGGGGGAGAGAGAAGTGGGGGGGGGGGCAGAAAGTGGACCCCGCGGCAGCACCCGGGCCACTACCGTCACCACCAGCTTATTGGCCGATCTCAGTCCCATGTCTGGCCCGTATCACTAATCATCATCACCAGCCATGATCTATTCACTGCTGGGTGAAGGCCTCCCCGCAAGCTAATGTCACCGGTCCGTCTCCCTGGTGGACATTGTCCTCGCCCGCCCCGTCATCGCCCCTCTGAGCAAAGCGTCCTCCTGACCGATTAATTGGCCGACCGATTGACTAACCGACTGATTGACTCACCGACCAATTCACTGACTGACCAATTGACTGACCGACCGATTGACTGACCGACCGATTGACTGACCGACCGATTGACTGACTGACCGATTGACTGACTGACCGACCTGCAACCGACCGACCACCCAGTCGGGTTAACCCGGTTCCCGGGTGCGTGGTGCAGCGACGACCTCTCGACCACGGGCACGGACAACTGCACGTTCAACGCGTGCCAGAAAGCGATGGGAAAGGACGACTTCACCAAGATCCCCAACGGCGTCAACGGCGTGGAGGACCGCATGTCCGTCATCTGGGAGCGCGGCGTGGTGAGTGCCATGCGCGGGCCACGGTGGCTAGGAGATGTTAACGACCTCGCCTGGTATGCAAGTAGGTCGTGGTTCGATCCCGACCCAGACGCCTGCTGCTGTATATTTGGAGTATGCAGTGTCTCTCTCATCATCATCACGGTGGCTCGGAGACGTTAACTACCTCGCCTGGTATGCACGATGATGTGGGTTCGACCCCGACCCTGACAATGGCTGCTGCTGTATATTTGGAGTTTGCAGTTTCTCTCTCCCTGTGGTCGCGTGGATTTTTCTCCGGGCCCTCCTGTTTCTATCTCCTCTACGTTTAGAATCAACATCACGCGTTCATAGTGTTTAGCTCCTATACATGTCCACATGATGATCCACTTCGTTGAGCTATCATTAGAGATAGCCAGGTCCTGAAAAAGACCTGTACAGCTCAGTCGGCCTTACCTGGTAAAATAAAATGTAGAAAAACATTGTTTACTTTAGCGATCCGATCTGGTCGAAGTTAAAACGCAAAACATTACTCAATGACGCCGTCATTGAGAAATGGCAGTTCTTTCTTTTAACACGCAGGCATTCGCGACCAAATGTTATCCATAAGAGGTTCATCTTGGGTTAGATCGCCAAAATATAAATGTGCCGGGTGGTAGCGATCATAACGACACATTTATATTTAACGCGATCCAACCCCCGCCCCCCTGTCAACACCCCCCCCCCCCCAAAAAAAAAACAACCCACCGCTATTCTGGGCACTTTTTAGTTTCAAATCGGTGACCCTCCCGAGCGTTGTTGGCGTCCGAGCAGCACAGCGGCAAGATGGATGAGAACCGCTTCGTGGCCGTGACGAGCACCAACGCCGCCAAGATCTTCAACCTCCACCCGCGCAAGGGCCGCATCGCGCCGGGCTGCGACGCCGACCTCGTCGTGTGGAACCCCAACGCCACCAGGTCGTGAACCCGGGCGACGGGGGGGGGGAAGCGGCGGGGGAGGGGGGGGCAACAGTGGGGGACAGCGGGGGGAGGGGGGGGTCAAAGTGCGTGTGTGGGGTCGAGTCGCCCCAAACCAGGGAATGGGATAGATCAAAGGGCGACGTATTTGCGAAACGACGTAAAACAGGGAATTACTCTACAATATTATGGAATGCCCTGCTTTTTGGCTCGGAGTAGACACTGCGATGGGGCTCCATCTGCGCTCCCCTTTCGCCAACCCACACTGACCACGGCGCTATGAAGTACGGCCAAACAGCTGGGCGGCGGCGGCAAAGGGTGTTAGTGATGGTCGTGATGTAAGTACACGTATGTTGAACTTCCTTTTCCACCGCACGTAGCCAATCGTGCTCATCGGGGGTGCGTGTGGACAGACTACGAACTAAACACAAAAAGCAGTTTTAAAGATGAGTTTCCAATCTAGACGATTTCAAAGTGGACTGCGCCAGTGACTTACTAATATCGGAACGAAGAGCGTTCCAGACGGCCGCAGAAGCGCATCTGAAAGCGCGCGATTCGCGTAACCAACTTTGTTCGATGGCCAGCTAAAAGCCGCTACTGCGAGGATGACTTAACCCCTAAACCGAACCCGGTTCCTCGGCCCCCCTCTAACCCGGCTGGTGTCCGCGTGCCCGCCAGGACCATCTCGGCGCGCACCCATCACCAGGCCGTGGACTTCAACATCTTCGAGGGCATGGAGTGCCACGGCGTGGCCGACGTCACGATATCGCGGGGCCGCGTCGTCTGGGAGGGTGGCGTCCTGGCCCCGGACCTGCGGGGAACGGGGCGCTACGTGCCGCGGGCTGCCTTCCCCGACTACGCGTACCAGCGCATACGCGCGCAGGACCAGGTAGGCGCGCGCGCCCTGGTCAGTGGGGCGCCTATGCAAGGGGTGCGCGACGCACCGGTCCTGTGGGGAACAAACAAAAACAACTACAACCACGGGACGGCGAACATCGGCGGCGAGGGATATTTGAACCCGGCCTGGGCCCTCCCCCCCCCCTTCACCGACTGGTACTGACCAGCGTGGTGAAGTATGGTCAAGCCCATGTAATTGGCAGCATGGGGAGGCGCCATCATCCAGCAGTGGATTGACAAAGGCCTGCCCAACCGTTGGTAGTTGATGTTTGCACTGAACACTTTTTTTAACCTCTCACAAAATGCGGCTTTCTTCTCTTCGTCTATTGCAAAATTCATAAATCCACATTCGGGTTGTTAAAATCGTTGTTTTGTGGCACTGGTGACCGCATAAAAAAGCGGACACCAGTTTGCCGCGCGTCCTGAATTGTCAGGAAACAAAACGTTTCACCACGCCGTGACTTACACCGCCGTGCGGTTTGCACGTTCCGTGGGTCTCCAGTGCATGCATTGCATTCGTGGGGAGCGGTGGTGCAGCAGTTAGCGTTACGCTGCGCTACAAACCCGGTGAACCCGAGTTCGATTCCCGCTCACGGCCAACACCAGTGACGATTACTTGAATCTGTCCTGGGGCTCCCCAAGGTTCACTCAGCCTCAAATGAGTACCTGGTGCGGTGTGTAAAATCAATGCCACTGGGGAGACAAAGGTGGTCTGGCGTGGTGCTGGTCACCCACCCCCCCCTCGTGTACCATGTCGGCCTTCATAGGTGTTCGCTAACAGCACTTGCCCCAAGAGTCTACTCAGGCTATCTGGAGGATCTTTGTCTTTGCATTGCATAAAAAAAAATCCCACCGGAAAATGGCTCCATGGAAACGATTCCTGACTTCTTAAAAAACGGTAACCGATTCTAAAAACTGTTGCTGGTTTACCGGTTACCCAGACTGACATAGCGGTAACAGAATAATATAATCTCTGGTGGGTGGGGGGGGCTAACGTTTGCAGGGCTGCACTGCTTGGGTTTTCCACAAAAAGAAGTTTGGATAAGCGAGCACTATGGCTAATATACATTTTAAATGAATTGCGCTACCCTATATAATAGTACATTATAATACGCAGTATAACGTGCGTATAAAATTCACTTAAAAATGTATATTAACATGTAATGTTTAATTCATGCATTAGAATATGGGTACAGCCCTTTACGTCAACCCACTGCTGTTTGCAGGTCTCCCTTCTGCCGTGTGCATCATGAGGGTTGTTTCACCACGCTTCATGCTGCCCAGTGTGTCGAAGGCAGGAATCACAGACGTCAAAACATTAGTTCCCGACAATGGATCGTGCTGCCCGGCCCTCCACGTAGCCCCTACGGCCTATGCCAACCTCTCTGCATGGTGGTCACCCACACGAGCAATACGCAGGCTCAACCCTGATAAGCTTCCGAGATCGGGCGATATGTCGGCCGCATTCCGCGTGATTTGGGCATAGGCTGAGTGAAATCTCCCGTGCAGTGCATCAGACGACGCCTCTCCCCACCCTACCTCCAACCGGGGTTCACGCGAGCCGCTGTGATCGCGCGTGCAGGCGAACCAGCCGCGCGCCGTGGAGCGGGAGCCGTACCAGGGGCCCGTGTTAGCGCCGGACGCGTGACCCGACGCTCCGACAACACCGCGACCCCCGGCATCGCCGCGACTGCGGCATCGAGGCGGCGGGAGTCGCCGCCTCCGCTCAGCTCCTCCCTGCAGCACCGGGCGACCGGGCGGCCCAGCTGTCGGGGTCACGCTTATCGCCCTCGGTAGTGGCGTTTACCTATCGATTGCTGTCCTCTTTGTGTTTGCTTTTGTAATATTGGTGACTCGGGTCACCGTTGCAAATGAGACTTTCATCCTGGTCTCTTTTGGATTTCGTATCTGGTTAAACAAATAAATTGCACTTGGGTCTTTTGGGCGCAGGCTGAGCTACGCACAGAAGGGGAGGTGGGAGAGAAATTACATGCCATGCCTATGCAGACTAAGCTACACTACAGACCTAAGGATATGGATCTGGGGATAAGGAGGTGCAAACTCCTGACTCTCCGAGACAGAGATTCAATCACTTAAGCGATTTCAATAAATCAACACAGCCGAGTATCGTTTGAAGGTGGCGATGTATTCACACATCTTTGAGTATTCGTCGCGAACTGTTCGCACACACGGTTCCCGATTTCTCGCCGAGGTGGAAGTGTGTGTAGGAACTCTGGACAGAGGTTCGACAACATGTGAGAGTTCACACTTTTCCTCCCCATCACCACCTTCTCGAGAGCTTTTCTTCATTTTACCAGCGAGCAGTGTGCATCACCCCGTGTCAGAGAATGGCCCAAAAAATTACGTGACAAAACTACCTTTGGAGTAATTTGAACTGGCCTATCGAGGTCAGTTATGGCAAAATTTGGTGCTCTCATTGCGATGGAACTTGGCTAAGTGATGAAACAAATGCCATATTTCTGTGCTAAATCATTCGTGACCATGATGAGACTATAAAACTCGATACACTTGAGAACCCAATAATCACCGACATCTGCCTCATCTCAAACCCAGGAACTCAACAATGCAGGCTCAGTGCTCAGACCACCGAGTTGCCTGCCAACAATATTTATCCTTCAGTACGAGCACCTTAGCTGAACTAATCGGATACTTATGGGGGGGGGTATTTTCGAACAAACAACAAGCGTTTCAAAACACAATTGTGTTACTTCTGCCGCTGAAAGGGCCTCTCGCAGTGACAGAAGAGACTGTGTCTTGATGCGTGGCTCACGAAAGGTGTTTTGAAAGTTTTATGTATCCCCCCCAGTAAAGAAAAGTTGCCCATACCCTCAAATAAACCAGCCCTGTAAAACCAGATTAGAAAATTATGTATTTCTCAAAACGTTGCAAGTTGTAACCCACTGCAGTGAGGAAATCTGTCCGCTGAAATGGTTTTTTTGGTTTAAACGGTTGAGATGTAAATGGGGGCATGTACGTTGAACTTCTTTTTCACCCTATGTTGCCAACCGTGCTAATCGGAGATCCATGTCACCAACATAAGAAAATCCAAAACCCGACACAAAACTTTACAAAATTCATTTACTTTTAACGGAACTATAAAAACGAGTATTGTAAAACAAATTTACCCTCTACATTCAGAACACAAAATTCATAGCGAGGCTGCGAGCATAAACAAGTCCCAGGCGAGGAGCGGAGAACGCTGGGGGAGCGCTGCGTTTGGCTGCTCCACTCGGCTCCCGGGAGTCGAAGAGATTCCGTCATCCCATGGGATGACGGACAACTCACCACTCGCTCACCAACATATTCACTCACCGACCTCACCACGAGCGCACCGACCACACAACTCGCTCTACGACTTCAACAATTTCACCGCTCGCTCACCGACCTCACCGCTCGCTCAACAAGCTGCCCACTCGCTCCTGAGGACTGTGTGTACACACGCACACACACGCATGGCTGTGTCAATTATCATTAGAGTCTGTAAACGCTGGCTCCCTGCGCAGTGACGCGCGGTGTTTGCATGGCCACGTGTCCTTGCATCCAAAGGTCACGGCCACGAGTTGAGTTCGGGCGTCACGAACGCGGGGTCAGCTCGGGTTTCCGCACTCCCGGCCGCTGCCCCGCGTGGTTCACAGGAGACCGCTCACGCATCCCTCTCCTCCTTCTCCTCGGCCACCTTGCTTTGCGACTCCAGCAGCGCCAAGTATTCGCGGCCCGTAATTTTCTCGGGTAGAATGTCTGCCAGTGGTGGGGGGGGGGGGGGGGTGGAATGCGTGCAGGAGTGAAGCAAAGCAAACAACTATAATGTAAAATTGTGAAGTACAACTACAAAGTTATCAGAAAGTTATATCGCGCTGATCGGCATCATTAAATTTGATATCGTGAGTGATGCTAACGACTTGGGGAGGACTTCATCCAATGGTGGATTGATCGCGGTTATGTATGATCGTAGGTATCGTGGCATCTGACATCATGGCAACGCCAGCGCAGAGGCCAAGGGAGGCATGGAGACGGTGGGGGGGTCGTGGAGGTGGGGGGGTAGAGGTTGGGGGGGGGGGGGGTGGGGAGGTCGTGGAGGTGGGGGAGGTCGTGGAGGTGGGGGGGGGGGTGGAGGTGGGGGCGTGGAGGTTGGGGGAGTCGTGGAAGTGGGGGGGTGGAGGTTGGGGGGGGTGGTGGTGGTGGGGGTCGTGGAGGCGGTGGGGTCGTGGAGGTGGGGGGGGTGGAGGTTGGGGGGGTGGTGGGGGGGGTCGTGGAGGTGGGGGGGGTCGTGGAGGTGGGGGGGGGTCGTGGAGGTAAGGGGCGGTACGAGGAGGTTGGGGGGTGGTTGGAGAGGTGGTATGGGAGGGGGGATCGTGGAGGTGGAGACCGTGGAGGTGGGGGGGTGGTTGGAGGAGTGTTTGGAGGGGTGGTGTGGGGAGGGGTGGTGTAGGGGGGGGTGAGTGGAGGTTGGGGTGGGTGGAGGTTGGGGTGGGGGGGGGTCGTGGGGGTGGGGGGGGGTCGTGGGGGTGGGGGGGGGTCGTGGGGGTGGGGGGGGGTCGTGGGGGTGGGGTCGTGGGGGTGGGGGGGGGTCGTGAAGGTGGGGGGGGGGTCGTGAAGGTGGGGGGGGGGGTCGTGAAGGTGGGGGGGGGGTCGTGAAGGTGGGGGGGGGGTCGTGAAGGTGGGGGGGGGGGTCGTGAAGGTGGGGGGGGGTCGTGAAGGTGGGGGGGGTCGTGAAGGTGGGGGGGGGTCGTGAAGGTGGGGGGGGGTCGTGAAGGTGGGGGGGGGGTCGTGAAGGTGGGGGGGGGGGGGTCGTGAAGGTGGGGGGGGGGGTCGAGGAGGGGGGCGCACCGGACAGAAAGTGCAGCGTCTCGCTGAGCCGCACGCCCCGCGCCAGGTCGGCGTACTCCAACTCCCCTGCCTGCTCCGCGACGCCGAGCGCCTCCCGCGCGAGCAGCTCCACGAACAGCTCCTACAAGGCGGGAGGGAGGCACGGGCGTCACGCGCTGCGACGCTTGCACCTTCACCGGACTTTCCTAGTCGCTCCCTACCGACCTCGGCTAGTCCAGGCCCGCAGAACCGCTAGGCCAAAGAAGGTTGTGGGAGGCAGGAAGGGAGTGGGGGGGGAGGGAGGCGGTCTCGGGCGTCCGCTCACCGTGGACTTGGCGGTGAGGAAGAGCGCCTCGGGGCTGATGGAGGACACATCTGGCGAGCTCTTCATGATGAGCTTGACGCGCGAGAGCGGCAGCGAGGAGAGCCGCTCCGCGCCGCCCCCGCGGCACGCCGACTCCGACACGGACGCCTCCTCGCTGTCCGCCATGACACGCGCCGCCGCTTCTTGCGCGCGGGGCATGATGGGGGTAGACGCCGACTTCCGGCTCCCAACCTCGCTTCCGATGCGAGCCTCGTCGGGAGTGGGGGGCACGCGGCACCCCTACCCCCCCCAACACGTGTCAGTAGGGGGCACGCGGCACCCCTAACCCCCCCCAACACGTGTCAGTAGGGGGCACGCGGCACCGCCTACCCCCCCCCCCAACACGTGTCAGTAGGGGGCACGCGGCACCGCCTACCCCCCCCCAACACGTGTCAGTAGGGGGCACACGGCACCCCTACCCCCCCAACACGTCAGTAGGGGGCACGCGGCACCCCTAACCCCCCCCCCCAACACGTGTCAGTAGGGGGCACGCGGCACCGCCTACCCCCCCCCCCCAACACGTGTCAGTAGGGGGCACGCGGCACCCATACCCCCCAACATGTGTCAGTAGGGGGCACGCGGCACCCCTACCCCCCCCAACACGTGTCAGTAGGGGGCACGCGGCACCCCTACCCCCCCAACATGTGTCAGTAGGGGGCACGCGGCACCCCTACCCCCCCAACACGTGTCAGTAGGGGGCACGCGGCACCCCTACCCCCCCGTCAGTAGGGGGCACGCGGCACCCCTACCCCCCCCCCCAACACGTGTCAGTGGTAGGGGTGGAACACGTGGTCCCCCTCCCGTGTGTGTCAGGGGTGGGGGTACACCACATGGTCACACGGTCCTCCACGTGGGCGCGTGGGGAGCCCCCGGGGTTGCCCGGTGCGCTGTGTCCCAGGGCCACGGAGCCCACAGCCCGCGAGCCCCACGCGACCCGCGGCTTCATTTCGGACGGCCCCGCCACCCACGGCCGCGTGCATCGTGGCCGCGCTAATCGGGCACTAGCGGGCGGGAAGATATTTTTGACATAACACTGTAGGGCGTTTTTCACTTCGTTTTTAAGAGTGATGGGCTTTGCCTTTCAAATGTTTGCGCTGCTCAGTCACCTTGTCACTGCAAGGCTTGATGTTCAAATGTTAATGGTTAGTCACTGTTAAATTTTTGTTAAATAAAAAAATCTATTTAACTTCTTTGCGGAACCTCCCAGTTAACATGGCATGTTGGGTCAACGTACGATCCCGACCACATGCCGACGTTGACGGCGTGTTTACTGCGGCTTTGCCACCAAGGTCTCCCTTGAAAGAGACAGGAGGAATCCGCTGAACTATGAAGCTCTTTTTTTCACAGTCCGTTAAGTCAATCCACTGCTGGATGAGGGCCCCCCCTACCCCGTGCGGGTCGTGGGGGGCCATTTGACCGCCCTTTTCATGCGTGGTCACTGCGGGTTTCTGAAGCCGGTTCTCACCAACGCTTTTATATAAAAGTCCCAACGTTCGAGCTGCATGAACAGCGATCTCGGGTTTTAAAAGTCCTGCTTCGGTGCGAGCGGTCTCGGTGGTGGGCACTTTGCGATTAATGACATGGCCCAGCACCCCACCAGCCTCATACCAGGGTGACGGCGAATTGCTTTGCTGAAGTGAGGCTCCACACGTCAGGCATTACCAAGGGAGTGTCATTTATTATTAGAAAGAGTGGCCGCTCCGGTGCCTCCGCGACGGCAGTTTTGACGATCGCAACCGGAGCGCATAGAAATCGACGGACAAAATCACGCGGGCGGCACGGCAACAGCAGCCGCCCCGGTTACACGAGCGACGCTTTCATCCGAGCCGCAGAAAAAGTGCAATATCATCGAACAAATACCGAAGCCCTTATCTCCACCTCTTTCAGATTAAAAAAAGCCTGAAGATACAAAAAACCGTGGCCATTTGGCGGGCACGGCCGTGAGCAGCGTGTGGCGGAGGCGTCGCTCGCTCGGCAGTGAGGGCAGAGCTGACATCAGCAGTGACCGGTGAACACGTGTCAACCTCTAACTCGACCCCGCAGCCAAGCAATCCCTGTAAATAACCATACCGCACTCACGACCACACCGCGAACCATGCTTTACTCGCCGACCAGACCATACGCCAGCGTTCTTCGTTGCAAGGCCCACGGGTCACTGGCAGCCCCTCGTGGCCTTTAGTGCGGCCGCCGACAATACACAAATGGGAAAACACTCCCATCATCATCGTGCTGTCAAACCCCAATGGTTTTAAATGTGTGGCGGCCCTCACACTGATGTCTTATCGGCGAAAGTGGGCCCCCTCTCTGAACATTAGTGAAGAACACTGCCCTACGCATAACCATACACCACACCAACCAACTGGACCCTACCCCTCATTATACACCGGCCAAACAAAGCAGCACCAGCCATACCCTTGACACCAACTACAGCCTCCCCATGTGGGGCATTTTGTGTATCCCTGCAGCCCGCCCACCCGCTTCATTCACCCTGTTCGTTCTTAATGTGCCACCCCACGGCTGGGCTGAGCGGGTATGGTAACGGTGCTGGCTCAGCGTACGGCAGCACAACCAGCGCAGGACAATCACTCCCGTGGCTGTCCAGGGCTTCCCACGACTGGGTGAGGCGGCGAAGAGGTGGGTGGAGGGCACCGGTCTCCCCACCAGAACAATCACCGCCAGCAGTCTCCCCGCCACGTCTCACAGCCGGGCGTAGTGTAAACAATCAAGGCACTTATGGAGGCTCCCAGCGCCCACGCATGGAGGTCACGTGCGTGGGCTACGATTGCACACGCGTGCGTGTGAGGTGTGTGGGTTTGACGTGTGTGTGATATCGCTGTGCGTGCGTCTGCGTGAGGTGTGTGCACGTGTTGTGTGTGTGATATCACTGTGCGTGCGAGGTGTGTGCAAGGCCTGTGATGTGTGATATCACTGTGTGCATGCCGTGTGTGATATCACTGTGTGCATGCCGTGTGTGATATCACTGTGTGCATGCCGTGTGTGATATCACTGTGTGCATTCCGTGTGTGATATCACTGTGTACATGTTGTTTGATATCACCGTGCGCTTCTTGTGTGTGTGATATCACTGTGCGCGCGTGTTACGTGTGCTATGTCTGTGTGTGCATGAGGTATGTGATGTGTGTGTGTGATATCACTGTGCGTGCGTGCATGGTGTTGTGTGCGTGATATCACTGTGCGTGCGTGGTGTTGCATGTGTGATATCACTGTGCGTGCGTACATGGTGTTGCGTGCGTGGTATAACTGTGCGTGCGTGGTGTTGCGTGCGTGGTGTTGCGTGCGTGGTATAACTGTGCGTGCGTACATGGTGTTGTGTGCGTGATATCACTGTGCGTGCGTGCTGTTGCATGTGTGATATCACTGTGCGTGCGTACATGGTGTTGCGTGCGTGATATCACTGTGCGTGCGTGGTGTTGCGTACATGGTGTTGCGTGCGTGATATCACTGTGCACGCGTGTGAATCGGCAGGTCCTTGGCCCAATCCTGCAGCTCCCCGGAGCCCAGCACGAGGTAGACGAGTGCCCCGAACGCGTCCACGCTCGCCGCAATGTTGAACACCGTCTGCCACTCGGGCAGCGAGTGCTGCCCACACGCACGCATGGGTAAAGCGAGCTCGTCAACGCCAAAGCTTCGCAGACCTCGGCCGCGACCGGCGATTTCACGGTGACAATTATCATTAAGGGTTAGGGTCCTTTCCTCTGAAGATCGGCAGCTCATCAGTAAACTTTGCACTCCTATCGTGTTTTTGCATTGTTTGTTGTAACGTTCTGACCCTGTGCCCCTACTGGACATCGGATTCGTCCAATATAAATACATATTCTGATTCTGCCTGATTCAAGTAAGCCTGAGACATTGTATGGCGAAACCGGTCCAGAGTTTGCTTGTGTTGAAACGACGCTGCTGTAATTTTGCATTCCCTCAAGGCCGTATGGCTGATGGGTTGTATCAAAAAATACTTTAACGTGGAGAGATGGACATGTGAAGGAGACATTGCTTGTTTATTTTGTCGTGATGTGATGGATGAGTTTGGAAGTGACCTCTCACCTCGGGGGTCAGGTACCCTACGACCAGAGGCCCCAGGAAGCCGGGGATTGTGGCAAACGTGTTGGTGATGCCGAGGAGAATGCCAGCATATCTGTACAGAAAAACAAACATACCCCCATGTAGCCTTTACAGACTGTTGGGGCAAGTGCTGTTCGCGAGCACCTATTAAGGCCGGCACAGCACATGCCCACTTTTATCTCCCTAATGCTGTTGTTTACACACAACACCAGGTTCTAATTTAAGGCTGAGTCGACCTAGGGGAGGCCCATGACCGGTTCAGATAATCGGGTCGCCGGGTTCATAGCGCAGCGCGCTAACTGCTACACCACCGCTCCCCACTATACTGTACACACGTGCACACACGCACACGCACGAGCTCGACCCGCTGGCGAGCACCGACTACGCGCGGCGGCGGCCTCGCGTGCCGGCGGGCGGGTGTGCCGGCACGCGGCCCTCACTGTGGCGCGATGTCCAGGTGGTTGATGTTGAAGCCGGACATGCTGAGCCCCCCCATGGAGGAGGAGAGTGTGAGGAAGGCGACCGCCAGCGTGTAGTTGCAGCCCACGAAGCCGGTGGCCACCAGGAACACGGCGGGGCCCAGCAGGCCTGGGGGATGGCGGGAGCGGGCGGGAGCGGGCGAAAGGGCGGGTGTGAGGGCGAGGGACGGACGCAAGTCACGAATCGCGAGCGACGGAGAGAATGGGTGACGGTGAGAATGAGTGGAGAAAATTAGCGACAGAGAGGAGTGGCAGAAAGAATGATTGACAGAGAGTGAGTGTGATGGAGCGAATTAGTGATAAGCAGAATGAGTGACGGAGAGAACGAGTGACTGAGAGAATGAGTAAGAGAGAGAAGGAATGACGGAGCGAATTAGTGCCAGACAGAACGAGTGATCGAGAATGATTGGCGGAGAGTAAAAGTGATCTTGAATGTGACGGAGAGAACGCACCCAGCGTGGTGAAGACCTTGCGCGTGGCCGTGACGGACAGCAGGTGGCGCATGCGGATGCGGTCAGCTACCTGTCCTCCCAGCATCATGGCCATCCAGCAGCCCAGGTAGGGCAGAGCAGACAGCAGCCCGTTCTGGTCACACAAACACAAAGATCCCCGCCCCCCGTATAGCTTACACCGACTGTTGGGGCAAGTGCTGTTCGCGAGCACCTGTTAAGGCTGACATGGCACACGAGGGAGTGTCTCACCAGCAGAATCAGCCTTGCTTGTATCAATGCTGGTGAACTGCCAGACGTTTTACAGGCGTGGGCAAAATTAATCGGCCGACAAGACGGTCGGGGAGCGACGTGTCGGCGGAGCTGAAAGGCGAGGGGGGGAGGTGGGCAGCACCTTCTTGATGTTGAAGTGCAGGACGTCGTTCATGTACATGGGCAGGCACGTGAGCAGCGTGTAGAATGCCCAGTTGTAGCAGAAGTGGGCGACAATGATGGCCCAGAGGCGCGGGGATAGCGCCATGCTCCCCCAGGGCACACGCCGGTGACCCTCGCCATGCTGCAAATAGGACAGTCGTAGCAGTTAACGTGTGGCACCTGTGAAGGCCAGAACGGCACAGGAAGGGGTGGTCAACATCACACATGGCCGCCTTTTCTCTCCCCAGTGCTGATGTTTACACACCACACCATGTATGTTTAACTTCTTTCACACCGTACGTAGCGAACCGTGCGAAACGGATACTCTAGGGGAGGCCCAACTCATTGGTCGTGAGCTGGAATCAAACTGGGGTCACCGAGTTTGTCGCGTAGTGTGCTAACTACTGTGCCACCGCTCCCCTCGTGCCTTCGTGTGTGGTCACACACAAACACACATATAGGCACAGGCCCATCTGCACACCAACATTGATTGCCAGGTGCTCACTCCATGGATAGCTCGCTGCGCACACACCCACTGCCCAAGTGACACCCGCTCGTGTGCTCACACCTCCATGTGCCGAAGTGAGTCCTTGATGTAGCGCTTCTCTTGCTCCGAGATGTGTGGGTGGCTGTCGGGGGTGTCCCAGGCCAGCAGGAACCACAGGACGCACCACGCCACACCCAGCCCGCCTGCCGCACCCACCCAAGGTCACTGAGCCCCTGTCTCGCTCACTCACTCGTTGGCTCGCTCGCTCAGTCACTCACTCGCGTCCCACAGAGCATCATCTACTCACTCACACACCCACCCACTCAATCACTCATTTACTCACTCAGCCACTCACGCATTTACTTACTCGGCATCACCCACCGAGCATCACGCACCCACTGTCTCGCTCACTCATTCACTCAGTCACTCGCTTACCCCCACCCTGCCTCACTAACTCACTCACACTCACTTACGTAGTGTCACTCGTTCGACTCATTTTTGTACTCGTTCACTCACTCAGCATTACTCACGCACCCAGCTTCACCGTCAAGCTGCTCACCACCGCTGCCACCAAACCACCACACACCACCACCACCACCACACACCACCGCTACACATCGTCACCGCCACACACCGCCACCACCACACACTGCCACTCCGTCACTTCCACCATTATTGGGTATAGTGTGACCCAATTCCTGATCAGGTGCCTCTGCTGGCATGGACCCGGCACTCACCGAATATGTAGAAGACGGACGGCCAGCCCAGGGTGTCGATGAGAAGGCCCGACAGCGGCAGAGACACGACCGTCCCAAACTGAGCACCTGTGGTGATAACAGAGCCCCTCCCCCCCCCGCCACGGTATAATAACAACACGATTACAGTGTGGAGTTACACAGCAATTAAATGCGACTGCGTTTCAAGACAGTGTACATAATGAGTGGGGCGTAATGTGTATAGCCAGAGTGGTCTCATATATGGGTGTGGGTGAGGAGTCTCCAGTGTCAGCGGACAGTGTCCCGATTTTTGAGCAGAGTTAGCGGGCTGGTCCATCGGCCCAGCAGGTGGCTTTCACCATGACAGGTGGAGGCACAGAGTGGCACTACTCCGTCTAAGACTGCAGTGGCAGGAGAACTGGCCCAGTAAGCAGTGGGGAGCGAGGGGATGGAGTGAGGGGGACCAGGCGTGGGGGGCGCCCACCGGCGTAGCAGATGGTGACCAGCCGGCTCCTCTCCAGCGGAGGGGCCCAGTGGGCCCACATGGCGTGCATGGTGGGAAAAGTGGCTCCCTGCATACGGGCAGATGCAGACACATACAAAGACATCTCTACGTCCGCTTGTAAGTCCCAACATCTCCCCGTGTGTTTCTGTCTGCGCTGGTATCTCCGCGTAACCAACCCCCTCCCCCGGGTGCATCCCCAGTGTCTCCCCGTATCTTTGCAAGCCTCCCTGTGCCGCGTTCCCCTCGGTGCCTCCGTGATCTCCCGTACCTCCCCGAAGCCCTCGATGACGCGCACCACAATGACCCAGGGGACCCCGAAGCTCGCCGCGGGCGGCGTGGCCAACGTCAGCAGCGTGGTGCAGGCGACGCCGATCCCGAACAACATCTTCCCCCCGTAGCGCCCGGCCAGGTATCCCCCGGGCACCTGCGCACACAAAAAGACAAAGGTCCCCCGTATAGTCTAAACAGACTGTTGGGGCTGTTAGCGAACACTTTTGAAGGCTGGCACGGGGCACGACGAGGGGGTGGCTGGTCAGCACCACGCCCGGCGGCCTTTGTCTCCCAAGTGCCGATGTTTACACACCGCACCGGGTACACATTTGAGGCCGAGTCGACCTAGGGTAAGCCCAGGACTAGTTCAGATAATCGCCACTGGTGTTCGCGGGAATCGAACCCGGATTGCCGGGTTCGTAGTGCAGCGCTTTAACCGCTACATCACCTGCGCACGAGCACCCTCCACCACACGCCACCTGTTCCTACATGCAGGGCATCTTCCCTGCACACAGGTGTGCGTGGTGGCATAGCGTGGTTGGGTGGCATAGCATGGTGATGCAGGTGTGTTCCAGGCATTCGTGTCTGGCATGTAAATTAGCCGAGAGCAAGCGGGGGATGCGCACTCATCCACTGTGCCGTCCCACTAAGCACCCGCGCACCTGTGTGATGATGTAGCCATAGAAGAAGGCACTGAGGATCCAGCCCTGGGTCTTCACATCCCAGTTGTACTTTGGTCCCTGAGCAAGACCACACGAGGGGGGGTGAGAGGAGAAGGCTTAGGATCACGTGGAGCGTGTCAAAATAAACCATTTATAACTATAAACAGAACCTTGTGAAATCACATCCTTGTCCCGTTTGTGGAGGGTCGGGGAGAGGCAGAGGGCAGTAGGAGTGAGCAATTGGAGAGACGAGCAAGGTGAGCAGACTGCACAAGATGCGGGAAGCGAGCAAAACCAACGGGCGAGCAGGTGAGCAAAAGGCAGGTGTAGGTGAGCAAACGACCGAGCAGACGAGCGAGTGAGTTGGCCTGCGAGCGGGCGAGCGAGTGGGAGATTGAGTGAAAGGGCGTGCAAGTGGGTGGGCGGAGAGTATACGTGGGTGCATGAGTGAGTGAGCAGACAGTCCCAGTTGGTGATAAAAATGGGTGAGCGGGTGGACAGATGGACGAGCGAGTGAGCGAAGAGCAAGATTCCTCGAGCAAGTGGATGAGTGAGTGGTCGCAGAGTAAACATCTGTTCCTTTGCTTCTGTTCCTTTGCAGCAGCAGCAAACGCTTAAGCGAGGTGGTCAAGCGAGTGTGGGGTGGTAGTGTGAGCGAGTGGGTGAGTCAGGGTGAGAGAGTGGATCAGTGAGCGGGCGAGCGGAGAGACGGCGGCGAGCAGGGCAGCGCTCACCCGACCGGGCCCCGCATCCGTGCCGTTGTCCACCACGTGCCCCGGGCAGTCCACGTCACCCGCATGCCACGGTGACGCCGCCGTCACGTTGCCGTCGGTGGTGTGGTTTACCATGGCGACCAGGGCGACGCTGAGGTTAACACGCAGCGCGTAGACCATGAAGAAGCCAAGGAAGGAGAGCACCGCTAGGTTGTAGCGCGCGGAGCAGCACATGGGCGCTCCTGCATGCGCGGGCGACAGCGCGGGCGAAAGTGAGGGCTCGCCGACATCAGCAAACTGACACCACAGATATCATGGCAGTTACTGACACCACAAATATGAGTACAGTCACTGATAACACAGATATCAGGAGACTCGCTGACACCACTGATACCAGTACAGACTCACTGACAGCACAGATACCAGTACAGACTTATTGACACCACAGCTATAATAAGTGCAGACTCACTGACAGCACAGATGGCAGTACAGTCACTAACAGCACAGAAACCAGTACAGACTCACTAACAGCACAGATACCAGTACAGTCACTGACAGCACAGATACCAGTACAGACTCACTGACACCACAGATACCAGTACAGACTCACCGACACCACAGATACCAGTACAGACTCACTGACAGGACAGATACCAGTAAAGACTCACCGACACCACAGATACCAGTACAGACTCGCTGACACCACAGATACCAGTACAGACTCACTGACACCACAGATACCAGTACAGATTCACTAACAGCACAGATACCAGTACAGACTCACTGACAGCACAGATACCAGTAGTCACTGACACCACAGATACAAGTACAGACTCACTGACACCACAAATACCAGTACAGACTCACTGACACCACAGATACCAGTACAAACTCACTGACAGCACAGATACCAGTACAGACTCACCGACAGCACAGATACCAGTACAGACTCACTGACACCACAGATACCAGTATAGACTCACCGACAGCACAGATACCAGTACAGACTCACTGACACCACAGATACCAGTACAGACTCACTGACAGCACAGATACCAGTACAGTCACTGACACCACAGATACCAGTACAGACTCACTGACACCACAGATACCAGTACAGACTCACTGACACCACAGATACCAGTACAGACTCACTGACAGCACAGATACCAGTACAGACTCACTGACACCACAGATACCAGTACAGACTCACTGACAGCACAGATACCAGTACAGACTCACTGACACCACAGATACCAGTATAGACTCACCGACAGCACAGATACCAGTACAGTCACTGACACCACAGATACCAGTACAGACTCACTGACAGCACAGATACCAGTACAGACTCACTGACAGCACAGATACCAGTACAGTCACTGACACCACAGATACCAGTACAGACTCACTGACACCACAGATACCAGTACAGACTCACTGACATCACAGATACCAGTACAGACTCACTGACAGCACAGATACCAGTACAGACTCACCGACAGCACAGATATCAGTACAGACTGACACCACAGATAACAGTATAGACTCACCGACAGCACAGATACCAGTACAGTCACTGACATCACAGATACCAGTACAGACTCACTGGCAGCACAGACACCAGTACAGACTCACTGACACCACAGATACCAGTACAGACTCACTGACACCACAGATACCAGTGCAGACTCACTGACAGCACAGATGGCAGTACAGTCACTAACAGCACAGAAACCAGTACAGACTCACTAACAGCACAGATACCAGTACAGTGACTGACAGCACAGATACCAGTACAGACTCACCGACAGCACAGATATCAGTACAGACTCACTCACAGCACAGATACCAGTACAGACTCACTGACACCACAGATACCAGTACAGACTCACTGACAGCACAAATACCAGTACAGACTCACTGACACCACAGATACCAGTACAGACTCACCGACAGCACAGATACCAGTACAGACTCACTGACACCACAGATACCAGTACAGACTCACCGACAGCACAGATACCAGTACAGACTCACCGACACCACAGATACCAGTACAGACTCACTGACAGCACAGATACCAGTAAAGACTCACTGACACCACAGATACCAGTACAGAATCACTGACACCACTGATACCAGTACAGACTCACTGACACCACAGATACCAGTACAGACTCACTGACACCACAGATACCAGTACAGATTCACTAACAGCACAGATACCAGTACAGACTCACCGACAGCACAGATACCAGTACAGACTCACTGACAGCACAGATACCAGTACAGACTCACTGACAGCACAGATACCAGTAGTCACTGACACCACAGATACCAGTACAGACTCACTGACACCACAAATACCAGTACAGACTCACTGACACCACAGATACCAGTACAAACTCACTGACAGCACAGATACCAGCACAGACTCACCGACAGCACAGATACCAGTACAGACTCACTGACACCACAGATACCAGTATAGACTCACCGACAGCACAGATACCAGTACAGACTCACTGACACCACAGATACCAGTATAGACTCACTGACAGCACAGATACCAGTACAGTCACTGACACCACAGATACCAGTACAGACTCACTGACACCACAAATACCAGTACAGACTCACTGACACCACAGATACCAGTACAGATTCACTAACAGCACAGATACCAGTACAGACTCACCGACAGCACAGATACCAGTACAGTCACTGACACCACAGATACCAGTACAGACTCACTGACATCACAGATACCAGTACAGACTCACCGACAGCACAGATACCAGTACAGACTGACACCACAGATAACAGTATAGACTCACCGACAGCAGAGCTACCAGTACAGTCACTGACATCACAGATACCAGTACAGACTCACTGACAGCACAGACACCAGTACAGACTCACTGACACCACAGATACCAGTACAGACTCACTGACAGCACAGATACCAGTACAGACTCACTGACAGCACAGATACCAGTACAAACTCACTGACACCACAGATACAGACTCACCGACAGCACATATACCAGTACAGACTCACTGACAGCACAGACCCCAGTACAGACTCACTGACAGCACAGATACCAGTACAGACTCACTGACAGCACAGATACCAGTATAAACTCACTGACACCACAGATACCAGTACAGACTCATTGACAGCACAGATACCAGTACAGACTCACCGACAGCACATATACCAGTACAGACTCACCGACAGCACATATACCAGTACAGACTCACTGACACCACAGATACCAGTACAGACTCACCGACAGCACAGATACCAGTACAGAATCACTGACACCACAGACACTAGTACAGACTCACTGACACCACAGATACCAGTACAGACTCACCGACAGCACAGATACCAGTACAGACTCACTGACACCACAGATACCAGTACAGATTCACTAACAGCACAGATACCAGTACAGACTCACCGACACCACAGATACCAGTACAGTCACTGACATCACAGATACCAGTACAGACTCACTGACAGCACAGACACCAGTACAGACTCACTGACACCACAGATACCAGTACAGACTTACTGACACCACAGATACCAGTACAGACTCACTGACACCACAGATACCAGTACAGACTCACCGAGAGCACAGATACCAGCACAGACTCACTGACACCACAGATACCAGTACAGACTCACCGACAGCACAGATACCAGTACAGACTCACTGACACCACAGATACCAGTACAGACTCACTGACACCACAGATAACAGTATAGACTCACCGACAGCACAGATACCAGTACAGTCACTGACAGCACAGATACCAGTACAGACTTACCGACAGCACAGATACCAGTACAGACTCACTAACAGCACAGCTATAATAAGTGCAGACTCAATGACGTCCATACCATTATAGGCATCAACACAAACTGCATTGCAGAAACCGAGGCAAGCGAAGCCCACGCTGAGAGGCAGCAGCACTAACATGCATCTGTAATGACAATACTAGCAGTACAAACACACGCAGTATAATCAGGCAGGGACGGTACTAAACGAGCGACTCGTGACTTACAGCAGACAGAGTACAGCACTTGCATGAAGTACTGTGACAGCAGGCAGTACGGACGGTACAATCTATACCCCCCAAGATGAGGCCTCTTGACACGAAGCCGGTAGTGCCCACATCACAACACTGGCAATACTCTTTGGTTATTTCACATCAGTACTATTAAGACGACAGTACTCTCACAGTACTATTAAGACGACAGTACTCTCACAGTACTATTAAGACGACAGTACTCTCACAGACCTATTAAGACGACAGTACTCTCACAGTACTATTAAGACGACAGTACTCTCACAGTACTATTAAGACGACAGTACTCTCACAGTACTATTAAGACGACAGTACTTACATCAGTACTATTAAGACCACAGACCTCTCACAGTACTATTAAGACCACAGTACTTACCTATTAAGACGACAGTACTCTCACAGTACTATTAAGACGACAGTACTCTCACAGTACTATTAAGACGACAGTACTCACACAGTACTATTAAGACGACAGTACTCTCACAGTACTATTAAGACGACAGTACTCTCACAGTACTATTAAGACGACAGTACTCTCACAGTACTATTAAGACGACAGTACTCTCACAGTACTATTAAGACGACAGTACTCTCACAGTACTATTAAGACGACAGTACTCTCAGTACTATTAAGACGACAGTACTCTCACAGTACTATTAAGACGACAGTACTCTCACAGTACTATTAAGACGACAGTACTCTCACAGTACTATTAAGACGACAGTACTCTCACAGTACTATTAAGACGACAGTACTCTCACAGTACTATTAATACGACAGTACTCTCACAGTACAGTACTATTAAGACGACAGTACTCTCACAGTACTATTAAGACGACAGTACTCTCACAGTACTATTAAGACGACAGTACTCTCACAGTACTATTAAGACGACAGTACTCTCACTACTATTAAGACGACAGTACTCTCACATCAGTACTATTAAGACGACAGTACTCTCACAGTACTATTAAGACGACAGTACTCTCACAGTACTATTAAGACAGTACTTACATCAGTACTATTAAGACGACAGTACTCTCACAGTACTATTAAGACGACAGTGCGCTCACAGTACTATTAAGACGACAGTACTCTCACAATACTATTAAGACGACAGTACTCTCACAGTACAGTACTATTAAGACGACAGTGCTCTCACAGTACTATTAAGACGACAGTACTCTCACAGTACTCGTAAGACGACAGTACTCTCACAGTACTATTAAGACGACAGTACTCTCACAGTACTATTAAGACCACAGTACTCTCACAGTACTATTAAGACGACAGTACTCTCACAGTACTATTAAGACGACAGTACTCTCACAGTACTATTAAGACGACAGTACTCACACAGTACTATTAAGACGACAGTACTCTCACAGTACTATTAAGACGACAGTACTCTCACAGTACTATTAAGACGACAGTACTCTCACAGTACTATTAAGACGACAGTACTCTCACAGTACTATTAAGACGACAGTACTCTCACAGTACTATTAAGACCACAGTACTCTCACAGTACTATTAAGACGACAGTACTCTCACAGTACTATTAAGACGACAGTACTCTCACAGTACTATTAAGACGACAGTACTCACACAGTACTATTAAGACGACAGTACTCTCACAGTACTATTAAGACGACAGTACTCTCACAGTACTATTAAGACGACAGTACTCTCACAGTACTATTAAGACGACAGTACTCTCACAGTACTATTAAGACGACAGTACTCTCACAGTACTATTAAGACGACAGTACTCTCAGTACTATTAAGACGACAGTACTCTCACAGTACTATTAAGACGACAGTACTCTCACAGTACTATTAAGACGACAGTACTCTCACAGTACTATTAAGACGACAGTACTCTCACAGTACTATTAATACGACAGTACTCTCACAGTACAGTACTATTAAGACGACAGTACTCTCACAGTACTATTAAGACGACAGTACTCTCACAGTACTATTAAGACGACAGTACTCTCACAGTACTATTAAGACGACAGTACTCTCACAGTACTATTAAGACGACAGTACTCTCACTACTATTAAGACGACAGTACTCTCACATCAGTACTATTAAGACGACAGTACTCTCACAGTACTATTAAGACGACAGTACTCTCACAGTACTATTAAGACAGTACTTACATCAGTACTATTAAGACGACAGTACTCTCACAGTACTATTAAGACGACAGTGCTCTCACAGTACTATTAAGACGACAGTACTCTCACAGTACTATTAAGACGACAGTACTCTCACAGTACAGTACTATTAAGACGACAGTGCTCTCACAGTACTATTAAGACGACAGTACTCTCACAGTACTCGTAAGACGACAGTACTCTCACAGTACTATTAAGACGACAGTACTCTCACAGTATTATTAAGACCACAGTACTCTCACAGTACTATTAAGACGACAGTACTCTCACAGTACTATTAAGACGACAGTACTCTCACAGTACTATTAAGACGACAGTACTCTCACAGTACAGTACTGAGCCGGTAGTACGAGCAGAGTGACAGTCCTCCTGCCGACACCGCCCGACTTTGTAAAGGAAGGAGCGTCGAGACCTTCGCATCGCGAAGACTGGAGATTGTAACGGGAACGATGGTGATATCGATGGCTATGATGTTGATGAAGGTGTTGTTTATAGTAATGAAGGTGATTTTGATGTTGATGATGACGTTGATGGTAACGAAGGTGGTTGTTGATGGTCATGGTAATGCTGGCGTAGTGTGTCGATGGTGACACGGGAGTCGCCTCGTACCGGGGGCAGACACATTACTGCGGGGCAGCAGGGGCTGCGTGTCGGAGCGACTGCTCCGTGCTGTCTCCTCCGTCGCATCCTCCGCCTCCTCCTCGCCATCGGAGACTTCGTTCTGCGACATCGTTCACCGCTCACGTGAGGGCTGAGGTAGCCGGCACCCCCACCCCGGGCCACATCCTCCCCGAGTAAGATGGCAGTCTCCCGGGCCACATCCTCCCCGAGTAAGATGGCCGTGTCACGGGCCACATCCTCCCCGAGTAAGATGGCCGTGTCCCAAGCCACATCCTCCTCGAGTAGTTTGGCCGTCTCTCGGGCCACATCCTCCCCGAGTAAGATGGCCGTCTCCCGGGCCACATCCTCCCCGAGTAAGATGGCCGTCTCCAGGGCCACATCCTCCCCGAGTAAGATGGCCGTCTCCCGGGCCACATCCTCCCCGAGTAAGATGGCCGTCTCCAGGGCCACTTCTTCCCCCGAGTAAGATGGCCGTCTCCCGGACCACATCCTCCCCAAGTAAGATGGCCGTCTCGCGGGCCACATCTTCCCCGAGTAAGATGGCCATCTTCCGGGCCACATCCTCCCCGAGTAAGATGGCCGTCTCCCGGGCCACCTCCTCCCCGAGTAAGATGTCCGTTTCCCGGTCCACCTCCTCCCCTCTCCTCCCCGAGTAAGATGGCCATCTCCCGGGCCACCTCCTCCCCGAGTAAGATGGCCGTTTCCCGGTCCACCTCCTCCCCCAGTAAGATGGCCGTCTCCGGGGCCATCCCGTCCCTGAGTAAGATGGTCCCTACGACGGCCATTCCCAGTTGTCGAGCCATTCCCATGGTAAGTTGGCACGAGCAAAAAAATCACCACAGCGCGTTTATCTCGAAAGCCAGGCAGTGTTGAGTCTGCTATGGTGTCTTGAATGAGCAGAATCAGTCTTTATTTAGACCGGCGGAATCCGATGAGCTATGAAGCTCTTTATCACAGATGTCCAGTAGAGCAACAGCCTTCTGCCGTGCTAGGCGGTTGCGGGTGCAGAGGGAGAGGGAAAAAAAGCATCCATTTGTGCAGCGTGCCCTCTCCCTCTCGTGCTCCCCGAATTCACCAATTCTGCAGCCACGTGGCCCTCCACGTGGCCCTCTTCAATCACTGGGTGGCTGTGGATGCACTCAACCTGCGGTCCGCGGGAAAGAAGAACTAAAATACTAATAACACCCCCACTAAGGAAATGTACAATCCCAAATATAACTACGAGAGTAGCGTTTGGTAGTCCGCGAAGTGTGTGGAGTTGAAAAGGTTGGGAACTGCTGTCACAATAGCCGTGACGTAAACTATGAAACTATTTTTAACTTTACCAGCTAATGCCCACTGAGATATATACCTTTTTTCTGAAGCGACCTGGCCACAAATGATAGCTCAACGAAGCGGCTTATCACGTGGAAATTTATAGCAGCCAAATACTCTAAACGCGTGTTTCTCAATGTGGAGGGAAAACCCGGAGGACCTGGAGAAAATCCACGCGACCACGGGGAGACACTGCAAACTCCAAATATACAGCAGGCGTCTGGGTCGGGATCGAATCCACGACCTCCTGCATGGCAGGCGAGGTAGTTCACATCTCCTAGCCATCGTGATGATAGGCATGCAAACTCCAAATATACAGCAGGCGTCTGGGTCGGGATCGAATCCACGACCTCCTGTATAGCAGGCGAGGTAGTTAGATGATGATGATGATGAATTCGGGTCGTCAGTCAAGCCCTGAGATCCAATCTCACGACCTCACGATCTGCTGCTCCACACACTAAACCACAATATGGCTCAGAGTGGTGCAAAAACACATGTTGGGGACGACACAACCACACACGCACACACGATGCATGCAGAGACAAAGTAACCCACCCCAGCACCAGTGTATACAAACAGAACTGTTTTTAATTTGGATTTCAAAGAAAAAACATGAAACTCGAACAAATACTCCATGGCAGGTTGGGACTAAACCATGGAGCAACCTCAACACTTGGCCTCTCCTTCACAAAGTGCTCAAATTTGTTACAATATTCACGTGGTGTTAAACTTTCTCTCCCTGTGCCCCTCAGCACTGTCAATCCTCCTACTCCTCGCTCTCTATCACTTAAAATCCTCAATACTCGAAGGCTCCTTGGTGCTTTCACGACTCCCAACGTTCATTGCCACACTCTACTCCGGTCATCCTCACAGCGGCTTGTAAGATGGTCACCGCGTGGCACGCTTTCAGAAGCGTTTCTGGGGCCGTGTGGAATGCTCTTCCTTCCGATATTAGGAAGCCACTGGAGCTATGCACTTTTAAATGTAGATTTAAAACTAATTTCTTGAGAACTGTTGTGTTTAGTTTGTCCTTAGCACGGTTGGCTACGCACGGTGCGAAAGAAGTTCAACATACAGATGTAATGATATGACAACACCTGCTGGTGGGAAAAGGGAAGCACGGGTACGTGCACCACTAAAACATCATCCAATCCCAAAGGGAGAGGTATCTGGGCCAAAGGTAAGGGGCGGGGCTAGCCGAGATACTCCGGGAACCCGCTGGAAGGTTCCACGAGAGGGCGTGGCCGGAGGCAGAGCCTAGCCGGGCCTGCGGCAACATAAACATGGGTGGACTAGGACTCGTGCTCGGTGTGTGGAGTCTTGCGTCCGGACTGTGTCGCTGCTCGCCGTCATCTCTCTCCATCGTTCGGCCACGTGGCAGATCTCCTGCGGAGTTCCACCACCCTTACCGGCACGCCGTCAACCAGCGGCAAGGCCAGGAGTGGACGGGTGGAACCACGCCGGATGATCGACCGTGTGCGTAGTCTGTAAGGACGCTAACAAGTGTGTACTCGGAAAAGAAAGAGAAGGTTGGCCTGTGTTGTGCCCGTATGTGAAATAAAGAAGAGTGCCCTCTACACGACATGTCACGGAAGTCGCTCGTTATACATACATACTCTCACCTCACCAAAATCTCCCCACCTTCAGGCGAAAAAATAAATTCGCAGCTGGTCTCCAGTCCTCAACTCTTTCCGTTGTTGACGTCATGTTCTCCTGTGCATTGGCTAAAACAAAAAAGATTGTCGACTTTAAAACCCTTTGCGTGTATGTACTTTACTAATACCCTCGCTCTACAGCCAGGGTGGGCATGTATTTTCAAGTCATGTTCCTCGCCTAAGGAATGTACAGAACTCGGAAACATGAAGTACCTTACCTAATGCAGGTTACATTTCAAAGACAACGACGGTCTTAATGCCAGCCTACGACCCTTTCAGCCAACACGTGTGATGCGGAGGCCTTGTGCGGGGAGGGCAATGGTGGCTCAGCTACTGAAACAAGAAAACCGTGGCCGGGTCTCAACGGGACCCGGGAAGCGTGCTGCGCCCTTCCCGTTGCAATCGCGACATCGTGACCAGAGCGGTGAACACACACGGGACGCGTCGACACACCACGGGGGAGATGAAACATTCTCGCGCACATGCATGCACGTGCGGGCCCGCCACTCGTCTGCACAGTGGCGCGTCAAGGGGGCCTGCCTTAAACGGACACGCCACTGCCTACAGCACCAGGTCAAAGTGCGCCAGCAACCCCCAGTGGTCGCTGGGGAACTTCCCACATGCCAGTCGCTCGGTCCCCACGAGGCGCAGCGAGCGCGGCACAACCGTGGCGTCCACGCCGCCACCGCCGCCGCCACCGGGTAGGCTGGAAGGTCCGGGCGAGCGAGCTGTGAGCGGCTGCTGGTAGAAGAGGCGGTCGAAGCGCAGGCGGGAGGAGCGAGCGCCCCCCAGCTTGAGGTTGTCGTTGAGGGTGGTGTCCCAGGTGTAGCGCGTCTCCTCGGGGCGGCCAAGCAGCTCCCACACGTCGCCCACGCCGGGGGGCAACCCCCCTATCTGAGACACCTGCAAGCACGCCGGCACCGCCCGTAAGCATCACGACACACCACCTGTGTCGGATAGGGTTGACACGGTATGTGTAGTATGGTACAAGGTCCCATGACAATCGTATCGTCCGTTTTGCTAAATATCGTCATATCGTGATTATCGTTGCTCATTTTATGTTTTGAAAGATACAATAAACTTGTTCATTTCGTGGTCAGTCGAGCTTTGGTTCTTTGGTAGGCCGCAGTCGTAGTCATCGTCACGTTTGAAAATTTTTCGTCCACTCAGATCTTCGTTGACCAATATAAAAAAAATAACACTCGCCGAAGAATACTTTTGCCACTAATTCCGTTCACAAATGTAAGGCAGGCAGGGCGGTCAGCGGGGAGGGAGAAGGGTGGGACTCGCCTCCTTGTCCCTCAGATTGGTGTCGCCCCCGAAGATGGTGGTGGCGTTGCTAGGCGCGAGCGCCATCCTCTGCAGCACCTGCTGAAGCTGGCGCACGCGCTCCTTGGTGTGTGAGACAGTGCTCTCCAGATGTGACGTCAGCAGGTACAGCGGCACCCCTGACACCTCCGCCTGCACGCAGACAGGTAGAGCCCGTCAGGTGGCACAGCCCTGGCCCGTGTGCATGCTGCTGTCGTTGGCTGATGGGATTATACTAAGAAACTAACTAAACTTTTTATTTTATCAGGTAAAGCCCACTGAGCTATTTAGCTCTCTTTAAGAAGTGACCTGGCCACAAATGATAGCTCGACGAAGTGGCTTTTCACATGGAAATGAATAACATCCAAATACTCGAAACGGATGTTTCTAAATGTGGAAGGAAAAACCAGAGGACCCGGAGAAAAATCCACGCAACTTCGGGGAGAACATGAAAACTCCAAATATACAGGCGTAGGATCGGGATGGAGCCCACGTCCTCCTGCATACCAGGCGAGGAAAATAATATCTCGCCTCGGGTGCTGGTTACTACACATTGGGTGCTGCAGTCAGAGCTGTGGCTACTTGCTGGATGCTGTTTTGCTATAGTTGGGTGACAGTTGCTGGGTATTGTTCCTGGATGCTGTGTGCTGTGAACTGCAAGCCATGGCTGGGTGCAGGGTGCCACTGGGCTTACCCTGACCGCCAGTAGGTTGCGCCCCATGACGGAGGTAGGAAAGGGGATGACCTCGTGGGAGATGAGCCGCACGCGAGATTTCTTCAGCATCACGGCAGTGAAGTAGCCCTGCTCATCAGCTGCACAGTGCGGCCCACAATCACCGCAACCCCCATCGTACAACATCGCCACATCACACAGCACCGGCAATACTACGCACTTCACGTTTGTTACGAGCAC